CCTTAAAATTGCATACTCTCAGCAGGGTGGGGCAGCACTGCACACCAGTTATTCTTTTTGCTCTAAATCACATAAAATTATCTCTAAGGTAGTTGTACTATGTTTGCACACTCTTAACAAACACTACAAAATAGCAACCTGATGAAGCAGGGGTGTGCCAGAGCCAAAAATATGTTTCCCAGCTCCAGCAGCACTACTTGTGACTTCTAGACCTTGGTAATTAACGTAGTTAATTAACTGTAACATAGCTCTTTATCATGTTACCATTGATGCATCTGTTACAAGTTTCAGAGCTATCAGATTTTGAAAGATATTACTCCTTATCACTCCTGGTTACCACCAGGCCAGTATGGCCTTTTTGCCAAGGCTAAGCCACCACAGTATGTCTACAACAAATAATATAAAATTTATTAAATTCTGTGTCATGTGAAAGAAAAAAAAAATTACAAGCTACAGTTACCGTGTCTTTGAGCTTGACTTGGGGTTTGTGAACATCACCATTGTTTAATGACAAATAACCTGCATCCACAAGATTGCATGCTGGACATCATTACATTAATCTAATGTGCTCATTGCTTGTTTTACTCTCTTTAGGAGGGCCATTATACATGTGAGTTTTAATTGATGGAAGCAATGTCATAGAATCACAGAATCATAGAATCTTAGGGGTTGGAAGGGACCTCGAAAGATCATCTAGTCCAACCCCCCTGCCAGAGCAGGGTCACCTAGAGTACATCACACAGGAACTCATCCAGGCGGGCTTTGAATGTCTCCAGTGAAGGAGACTCCACAACCTCCCTGGGCAGCCTGTTCCAGGGCTCTGTCACTCTTACAGGAAAAAAAAATTTTTGGATATTCACCTTGAACCTCCTATGCTCCAATTTGTACCCATTACCCCTTGTCCTGTCACTGGTCATCACTGAGAAAAGCCTAACTCTGTCCCCCTGACACTCACCCCTTACATATTTGTAAACATTGATGAGGTCACCCCTCAGTCTCCTTTTCTCCAAGCTAAAAAGACCCAGCTCCCTCAGCCTCTCCTCATAAGGGAGATGTTCCACTCCCTTAATCATCTTTGTAGCTCTGCGCTGGACTCTTTCAAGCAGATCCCTGTGGGATCTGTGGGGCCCAGAACTGGACACAATACTCCAGATGTGGCCTCACCAATGCAGAACAGAGGGGGAGGAGAACCTCTCTTGACCTACTAACCACACCCTTTCTAATGCACCCCAGGATGCCATTGGCCTTCTTGGCCACAAGGGCACATTGCTGGCTCATGGTCATCCTCCTGTCTACCAGGACCCCCAGGTCTCTTTCACCTACACTACTCTCCAGCAGTTCAGCCCCCAACCTGTACTGGGACATGGTGTTGTTCTTCCCCAAATGTAAAACTCTGCACTTCCCCTTGTTGAATTTCATCATGTTTCTCCCCGCCCAACTCTCCAACCTATCTAAGTCTCTCTGAATGGCAGCACAGCCTTCTGGTGTGTCAGCCACTCCTCCCAGCTTAGTGTCATCAGCAAACTTGCTGAGGGTACATTCTATACCCTCATCCAGGTCGTTGATGAAGATGTTGAACAACACCGGTCCCAGCACCGACCCTTGTGGGACTCCACTAGTAACACACCTCCAACCAGATTCTACCCCATTGACTACAACTCTCTGACTCCTTCCTTTCAACCAGTTCCTAATCCACCTCACTTCCTGGTCACCAAACCCATACCTGATCAACTTATCCACAAGGATGCTGTGGGAGACGGTGTCAAATGCTTTACTGAAATCAAGATAAACCACATCTACCGCTCTACCATCATCTATCCACCTAGTAATTTCCTCATAGAAGGCTATGAGGTTAGTCAAACATGATTTACCCTTGATAAAACCATGCTGACTGCTCTTGATGACCCCCATGTCCTTGATGTGCCTGGAGATAGTCACAAGAACAAGTTGTTCCATCACCTTTCCAGGGATGGAGGTGAGGCTGACCGGTCTATAGTTACCCGGGTCCTCCTTCTTGCCTTTCTTGTAGACTGGTGTGACATTTGCTATCCTCCAGTCCTCAGGCACCTCTCCTGTTGCCCGTGACTCACCAAAGATGATGGGGAGTGGCTTAGCAATGACCTCCGCCAGCTCCCTCAGCACCCTTGGATGCATTCCATCCGGACCCATTGATTTATGGATGTCCAGATTACTCAACTGATCCCTAACCCAATCCTCATCTACCATGTCAAACTCCTCCTCTATCTTGACTTCTTCTGGGGCTATATGAATCTAGGGCTCATGGGAAAATCCTGCAGGAGTAAAGACAGAGGCAAAGAAGGCGTTCAGCACCTCTGCCTTCTTTATATCCTCTGTCACTAGGGCTCCCACCTCATTCATCAGTGGGCCAATATTGCCTCAATGTGATAATGATAAAAAAAATACATTTGTCATATTTGAAGAACATGAGGAACATGTTTCCTGAAATAAAATTCTTGGTAGCTGAAGTTAGCACAACAGATCTGAAAGCAACAAAGTAACAATCCACAACATTATTGTAGTTATTCTCTCAGCATTTTATTTGAAATATCAATACTTTCCATTATATAGTTTATACATTAAGCACTAGGGAATTGTCTTAATTTCACATAGTCCAGTACTGAAGTGGCACATTCAAAGCAGCACATTACATCTCTGAAGGAATCTGTACAATTTAGATAAATAGAACTCTGAATAACTAAACTAACATAACTTCCACAGCGTTTACCAGAAGAATGCCAAGAAGCTAGGCACAGCACTGTAGACACAAAGTGCAGCAAGGAGGAATACAAGATAACCAACTAAACATATGAAAAATGTTTTTGCATATACAGCCACATGTCTTTAATTGCTCAACACAAAAATGTAACAAATTTTATTTAGTCCTCATTGAGGGCAGAATATGCACAAATGATGTTTGAATAACACATGGTAGACAGAAATAAATGAAGTGAGGGTTGTGTTTAGTTAGTTATTGTATTCCTCAGGGAATAAGTTTACAAAGGATACCTGGTGCTTAAGCAGAATGATCTTGTGCCAAGACTTGACAAGAAATGGTTAACAAATGCCAGTTTTATTCCCCATCTTGCCCTCTTACTGGCATTTTGGTGAGCATGCACAAAGTTCCTGAAGGGCAAATTCAGGCGGTTTCTGGTTGAAGGTTTTTACTATAGGAATCCCCATTTTATGGTTTGCAGTTTACCTCTGGATGGAATTAGGCCTCTTAGCAATATTTAGGAATAAAAAAATTAGCAGAGAGCAGCAGGACACACAGTACAGTGGTTCACTTTCTGAGAAACTGAAGGGTTCACATTTACGCCATCTCTCTGAGAACATCAAGCCAGTTTCATTGGAAGATACAGTTTTGGTTAGCGTTAGACCTGTGTGAACTGTATCATTAGGAAGGGAAAGATGGAATGGCAAGTACTTTTCCCTCTTTTTATAGAGAACTAAGACTGAAAAGTAATACAGTGGTGATAGGCATTATCTTCCCAAAATCACCTTCACTTTCTGCTACTTCATGGAGTTTCCTGCTTTGCTTGCCATCATCTTCCCAGCTTCATCTCAGTAATGCTTCTGGTTACCACCAGGCCAGTATGGCCAATATTCTAACCAACCCTATGCTGGCTCAGAAGATACCACGCATCACCACCATGTAGTTAGACAACACGTAAACCAAAGATGCTCAGTGGGAAATCGATGACTCTAACCACTGCAGTTCACACTTGTAAGGTGTAAGAAGCAGCATTTTGAAAGCAGTGGTACTGATACAGCTAGCTGGGTCAGAGGTGGTGTATCAGCCACCCTAATGGGGTAAGGGAACTAGAATATCAACATAATTGATGGGGAAGAAACCTGACTGGCCATGAAGCATCCCCTCATACCAGTTTTCATCAATCTGGTTAGTGAGGGTAATGATATCCCCTTCTTTAAATCCCAGCTCCCCTTCATTTTCTGGTTCAAAGTCATATAGAGCTCGGCAGCATGGCTGATCCATGTGAACACCTATAGAGAAGAAACACAATGAAAAAAATGTGCTTCAAGAAGTCAATACTACAGTATCCTTTTTACCCTTGTACTTGCTATATATTTGATATGAGTATCACTCATATGCTGATGGCAGTTCTCTGATAGCTTCTAAATTTTGACTGCTAAACCTTACTAGAAGACAGCTATCAGCTTTTGGCAGCCTTTAGTTTTTATACGTGACTACTAGTAAAAGTCTGACAATTCTAAAAGAACTAAGCTACAGTCAAACCCACACCTAAAAGCACAGCTGTGATTACTTTGGAATCTACTTTTTATCTGTTTACAAAACACAAAAAATGAAGCAAAAGTCCTAATTATATTCAGCTTTACTGGCACAGAAATGCTTTGTCCATTTACCTCAGGTGTGTAGTGTAAGGGTACCTTAAAAGAACAGTGAAGGTGCAACTGTAGAGACATTGTACATGCTCCTAATCCTCTAAATTTTAACACGAGGTTTCCAAAGATTTTTTCTCCCTATTCCCACAGAATGCTTGACTGAGGGGCCACCAAGATAGATTCATAATTTTGAAAGCACAACCCTTCTAATATGCAAGTTCATGAACATCAGACCAAAAACCCTTTAGGATGCCTAATGGGTATTATTATTGTAAGTCATTAGTTTCTTAAGATTTTAATGCAATTTATGAAATCACAGAATTATAGAATGGTTTGAGTTGGAAGGGACCTTAAAGATCACACAGTTCCAAACTCTCTCCCCCAGGCAGGGACACCTGCCACCAAATCAGGTTGCTCGGAGTCCCATCTAACCTGGCCTTGAACACTTTCAAGAAGGTGGATTCCAAATTAAATATTAAATATTCCTTCCATCCCCCACATCCCACCTCTCCTTTCCCCGAGCCCACACAAGTGTCTATAGATTTAGGCTTACCAAAAGTAAAATTATTATCGATCAAATTATTTAGGATTTAGTAGCACTAAATTGTAAGTATTCTTATATCCCTGCCTACTGTTCCGCAGTAAAAGTGCATGAACTTCCAGAGGTCAGAAAGAACTGACACACATTGCTCAATCATGTTACGTTCAAGAACACATATTTTGGCTTTTTCACATATACTGGCTTCAGAATAAATACATTTCACATTCAAACATTTTGCATATTCATTTTAACCACTCGCTATAGCCAGAAGACCCAAGCTTGAGCTACTTTAGGACAAAAATATTCCATTTCTACAGATGTCAACAGAGCAAGTTTTTCAAATACCAGATTAGATTTACTAAACTTTTTAGGGAAACCTTCTTTCATTTCTTCAGTGTATTTTGTTTTATTTGTCACGAAGACTATTTTGCTGGCATCAAAAAGCCTTACAGTGCATGACTTGTAACCTCATTGATCCCAGATGAAATTTAGAAGACTTAGAAAATAAACTCTAATGACCACAAAAGATCAGGGCTTTGAATGAGAACCCAAACATCCACTAGAGAATTTTTAAGGAAGAAGGTATTTCTGTGAAACTAGTAAACACTTCAAAATGAAGTACTGAAGAAAATGCTAATTACTGCTCTCTGAAGAGGAAAACACTACTGCTGAAGAGACACAGGAACATCAGTCTGCACTGCCTTAGCACAACCCAGTGTTCACGACACTACAGAAAAGAAGTGAAAAAGAAAATGAGGAGCTTTAGTATGCAAGACTCAAGCTATGCTCAAGGTATCTGAAATGTATCCCTCTCCTCACTAGCACAGTGAGATTAATTGGCATTTGCAAGATTATGTGAGGCAATTTCCAGCTGCAGGTGCTAAATGGAGACACTGTTGCTACCTATATCTGGGAGAACATGAAACCAGATGTGATGGAAGGAAGGAAATTTGATTAAAGATCTAATGAAAAAAAAAAAAATCTAGTCTTGCAAGGTGGAATGTTTTAGCAGTTGTCACTGAGGTAAACTGAAATAACTGAGCTCAGAGTCTGGACAGAGACCCTGAGCCTTCACCACGACAGGGGACAGCAGACTATTACAGTGAGAAAATATAATAAGACTTTCTTAGTATGTGCCACTCCCAACTGGACAAAGAAAATAACTCAGATGGCTTTTTTTTCTTTTTAGTGATTTTCACTTTCAGGATCTTTGTATTATCATACCTGATTTTAAAAAGCACGATGAGGTTAAGAAGGTTTTAGGGGCGGGGTTCAGGGTTCTTCCTTTTCACAAAAAACTTACCATTTTTATTTCATTTTCTAATTGCCTATTTTGTAAAGATTCATATTTCGAGGTGAAATTAGTACAACAGCATCTCCTTGAGCTTCTTGAACTCAGGAAATGTTTTACACAAATACACATTTAAAGCAGAGGATGATCCATCCCTATTCTCTTGTCTGGGGATGCCAGCATTTTACAAAGAAACAACAGTTTACACATCTCTTCCCTATACTATCCTCATTCTCATTTTCCCTCACTATGGAAGAACTAACTTTTAGAAGAAAGCATGGAACTTCTGCATTCTCGTGTTGCTACTGCCATTACCTGATGGTTTGGGTGTGGTGGCGTGGGATATTCCTCCATTGTGCTGAGTAATGTCACCAGTTGTGAAATCCAGGCTCATACGAGGTTTGGGCTGGTATTCCCTCCTGGGCTGAGATGATGCCTCTTTTATTCTGCCAAAACATGAAGTTAATTGGAAAGAGTTAGTTTCCTGTTAACAGATGAGCAGCACCAAACATCTTCATTTCCATGGCTGAAGTTTCCATCCATCAACCATCCAGACTAAACAAGTTTGGACATTTGGTGTAATTTTTTGTTTACCACATTACCAAAAAAACCAGCCGTTGTGATTATGCCATGAGGTTGTTAATTTTTGTTTTCCTTTAGAAGCCAACCGATCGTTTTGGCTTCCTTTTGTCTAGCAATAAAAAAGAGCTTCTAATGGAGAAAAACTGATTAGCAATGCTTAGAGAAGAGCTGTAGAAATATCTCTGCCCCTGTTTTTAGCATGACCCTTGCTTCTGCCCTTAGCAAGCTTGAACTACTCAGTTGGTCCATGCCAACTCCTGTAATTTTGTGCAGAAACCATGCAGGAATGTACTGACTTCAGCTGCAGACTTAGTTAATTTCTAATTTAGAATACTTGTTTCGCAAAGGCACACAATTCCAGTTTTCCTGACTGTCAGAATAAAAATGTTATCCGCTATCCATCTCAACTTACTCCTCTAATTGAGAAATGTAGAATTTCTAGGAAAGGGTAAATTTTAAGATTCCAGAGTAAAATCCAGGGAAGGGAAGATGACAAAATCAGAGCAGCTTATGCGGAACAACTGCCACGTACATTTCTAATACTGCACATGGAAGAACACTTGAGTAAAAACCTCTCTATTTAAAGGACAAGGTGGTTTCCCTAACCTTCTCTCGATCTGCTCCACACTTGCTGTTGGTAGTACAATTTGGTTTTATCTATTGAAAAAATCTGCTTCTAAATTAACCAGTTTTAGACCTGGTAACAAGGGTTTCCTCACATTCCAAAGTCTTATCAGTACTATTCAGTTCGTAGAGGCTGCTCTTCTTCATCATAAACAAAAACATAATCATATTTTAAAAATAAATTAAGGAAGTTCAGCTTAAATTAAAAGGCTTTGCTGTGTTTCACTCATTAACGTAAGTTACTTTTTGAAAAGAGAAAAGTTTTGAAAAAAGAAATCCTTAAACAAATTCAATCACACTTAATACTTCCAAGATAAAATATCTTCTTTTTACATATTATGAACTAGAAAATGACAGTTCCAGTGGCTTGCTAAAACTTACACAAAAGCTCAGCATGAGCCATTTTTCTGAAGAACAGAAACATCTCCAAGGAAACCATTCTTGCTTCCCAGCTGCTCTGTTAGGATACTCTGTCTTGAAAACTGCAGTCCCCTTTAGCTTGATGAGAAAGAGAGTTTAAAAGTAAAAGCCTTTTCTGACCTTCCAGATTTTACTACTTTTATCACAAAACTCCCAATATTTGCCAAATTTCTAAAATCCTAGCTCCTGATACCATGGTATTTTAAGGAAGTTCATTAATTCCATTAATTTGTAGAAGAAAAATGAAAATTCTTGCAGTTCCTGAAGAAAGTTTTGAAGCCTAATCTGAAGGATGTAGAAAGAACAGAAGATTTTAGTGCATTTTAAAATTTTTCATGGTTTTTGCAATCTATTTTATATTAATTCTTCGGGCAATATTTTAAACATGACAGTCTCAGCAGTTATAGAACATTGTCCATGCCAAACAACAGCATCTTTTAAAAAGTACCTGGAAAAAAGGAAGCATGTGCTGTAGACATCACTTAGAGTGAATGGTAAAAATCTGCTCAGCTTAGAAGTAAAGCATTATTTATTTTCTGGTCCATATGGCCAAAAAAGCAACTCCAAAAACCCATGGCCATGCATTCTTTGCTGCCTGAGTATCACAAACAGGAAAAGACAAGTAGTTTAAATAGTAACAACTCTACATCACAGCTTAATGCCTGGCATGAGCACAGGGCTCTAATTTCTATCTAGTGGTATGGACAAAGGATTATTTACCCAGAAAACTCTTTACAATTAGGGATAAACAGGAGGTTTATGTAAAATATTTACTTCAGCTGATCAGTAATAGCAGCCCAATGCAAGGTTCTTGAAAAGCTGAAATAATTCTGAGATGAAACTTAAAAGATACTGTTTAGCAGAAGTTTCAAAAGAGCAAAGGATTATCTAAATTCATAGAGGAAAAGAAATCTGTTGCAGAGGGAGGAATGTTCACTTTATGGCATAACTTAAGAGACTGCAGAACAACCCACTTTTTTCTGATTATTTTTTTCTAATGCTTCCGTAAAGTAAATTAATTGCAGTATTCATTTGGAAGTGGTAAAAATAATTGCTAGCTATTTAGACAGTACAGCAATCTGTAACCATAAACAGCCTGCTGTGAAGCCTACCTACAAGTGCTGCTCCTAATTGCAAAGAAATGTTAAGACTTCTACAACTGGATGAAGCTTACAGACTGTGCGCTCTGAGAAAATGAGCACTGACAAACCCAGTAGTACCAGAAAGTGGATATACATTACTGACATCAGAGAACTGCAAATCAGGAAATCAGGAAAGATTAAAAAGCTGTCTTCACACAGTATGTGAACATTACCTGCTCTTGGGAATTACGTCCAGCTTTTAGGAAATCTTCCCGTACCATAGGGACTAAAGAAATATTTCCCATCTGTTAAGTTTCCTCGAAGAGGTACATGCATGTGGGAAGTTGATCAGCTTTTACAAACATTATTTTCCCCATTTCAAGAGCGTAGATGTGTTTTGTGTTGATAGAAAAAAAAATTTCTAAACTAAAAATTCTGAAGTTCTATTAAAAAGACAGTGTATAAATTCTGAGATGGCATTCACAGTTAAAAAAAAGGGATGGAAGAGTTAAACTCAGTTAAGCCTTTCATCAAGATTATCTGATAATAAAGCTGGAAAACATGAGTATTTAATAAGGTGGCAAACGATGGGCTGGCCACTAGGGAGATCTTCACTGGCTCAGGGGGATCTTCAGATAGATGAAAACATAACAAGATACTCTTTCTCAATAGTAATCATTAAGGTCTTTTTTCAGAAAGACGACTTTGTGAATATATGCGGGAATGGTAAGGAATCCAAAGTTGGAAGTGTCACTGACTTCCAGTATTTATAAACTCTTGCTTTTAGTTAAATGCCATTTAACAGCTTTACTGAGCTGTGATGCTTTACCAAAGTCAGTCCTCATTAATCATACTTAGAATTATATACATCTCCAAAACATATAAACTTCAGCTTGCAATTGCCAAATGAAATAGTCCTTCTTTTCACAAACATTTAATTACCAAGCTTCAAAAGGTAACAGGATTGCATTCTACGCAGAGGTTTTCTGCCTCCGTAAAACAAAAAAAAACAACAATTCAACAAACTTATAAAAGGTGCATTACCTATCTTCCAGCTTAGAAGTAACTCGCTGTAGGATCTGTGTGGCCTGCTTGTGGTACTCCAGCTGGGCTTGTACAAGAGCAGAGAGCTGGCTCACTTGTTCAATCTGAGGATCGACATTAAAACATCAGATCTTAGGCAAGTACTCATAGCGAGTAAAGGCGACTGTCACACTGACACTGCAAAGGCAGTTCTACTTACCTCTCTAAAAACTTGATTCATCTTTGTAATTTGTAAATAGTTACATACATATCACTCTTTATTCATTACTATGTCTGGTTATGACCTGATTTGGAATCATAACTGCAACTCTTGTCCACTGCTCACCTACTTCATTCAGCAAACACTATGAAAGTAAAAATGAGGCTGTAATGAGAGCGCAATACATCTTTGCCCTCTCTGCCTTTGAAGACCACAAAATCACAAGGACTACCTATGGTCATGCCTCTGTCATAATCTGGCCTGTGAAGCAGACCAAAACAGGAAGACACCATGTATTCTTGGATGCAGAGGATTTGTAGTGAAGGCACACAGCACATTACTTAATGAGTGAAAAAACATCAAAAAGCCCTTCACAAGCAATGTAATTGCTAGCAGTTTCCATAATACATAATGCCACAATGGTATAATGCAAGCCAGCAAGATATGGCCACATGGGGTTGGATGTTACTCCAAGGATTAAAACTAAAAACTTGCTAGACTTCTTTTCTTTCCACAAAGCATTATTTAATTTCTAATATGCATATATTTTTCAGAGTGTTTTGTTATCCCTCTACAGCAACCTGGCAACAAAATGAAGAATTAAATTAGGTGTGCATTTAAACTTTAAATAAGAAAAATACTTAAAATTAATTTTCTTTGACCATATATTCTGTAAAACAGACTTCACCTGAAATATTTTTTATTTTCATCCAAAAGAAGTAATTTTTTCTTCTCACTTCATTAAACCATTTTAGCATTAATTATTAATATAAGTTTTAAAAAAACCTAACAGGTGCTCAATCCCAAAACACTTTGTATCCCAAAAATGTGCTACAGGATCAGATTCAAGGTGTTACATTAACTTTGGCTTCCTTATTAAGTATTTCAGCTCCTTACAGCAAAGACCATGGGTCTCTTACCTTTACCAATCCTCTCAGCAGCCCACTGACTTGAGCAACAGCCTTGGCTCAGACTCTAAAACCACAGCTAAGTAAAACTCACTACTTATATTTACATAATTCTAACAAGGAAGATAATTTTTGTTTTGTAAATAACACTATGCAGTTAGGAAGCACACCAATGCTACAGTGGATTGATGTTTTACTCAGTTACCTATAAAATACCTATAAAACTAGTCCTATATGTGCATGCAATACATTACTACAGCTTCTGAGCCTCTGTTGAGTCCACCAAGGAGGCAAGTGCTTCCTCATTGTACAGTGACAGGAATTTGTGGTGTCATGGACTTAACAAGAACTGCTTAGACTGCTTTAGATTGCCTTCACTGCAGAACCAGTATCTTTTCTTTTTTTAAGATTCAGCTCAAATATTAACAGGGGATATCTCACATCCATCTCCAGAAGGTTGAACATGCTTGACTCAGCAATTTCTTTTGATTCATCAAATTTCTCCAGAGCTTGACGAAGTTCTTCATCAGGGAGCTTGCCCTGTCTTTTCTTTTTGTAATCAAAATCCAGGCGTCGACCCTCCATTTTCTTTAGGTGATGCTAAAAAATGAAAATGTAAATACAAGCACAGAATAAAGGATGTTCCCCACCTCTCCTTAAGCTGCATTTTAGATAGGTAGTCCGTGTGCATTGCATGTACTGGTTGCTGTATATCAACTCTTCCCCCAGAGGGGAGAAATACAAACCAATGAAATGGGTGATTTTACACACTTTTTAAGAAACCATTGTGTGCTGCTGTCTGACAGACCTTCAACATTACAAAAAGGCTACACAGAATGAGTAACTGCAGTTACCACCTGTATAAAAGATACAAGAGTTTATAGCTTTTTAATTCTGATGCAGAATTACCTGAACCCTGTTTTTCCCCTAGATATTAAAGAAAATAACTGTTAAAAGCACAAGTGAGTACATTTTTCCCTGTGTATTAGTCCTCATAAACAAAGCAGCACAGAAGATATTTCCATCAGACCACCAAAGGCTCTTAATTCTATATTTTAGTAAAGATTTTCTAGTTTAACTGACATAATATTTATTTTGATCTGTTTAGCTGCTGCCACATCAAGCTGGCTAAAACTTAATGCTACCAGCAGGAGAACGGACACTTTAGGTGCTTACTTCCCTTCGAAAGAATCAATTTGTCATCCATTATGATATTTATAACTTTGTCAACTTTGTATATTATATCAAACTGCCTAAGACATCTTTTTTCCACATACATTCATATGTGTGAAAGCCTTACCAACCTCAGAAGGACAGTTACTTATACAGATAGAATCACAGAATCATAGAATCACAGAATGGCTGGAGCTGGAAGGGACTTTAAAGGCCATGGAGTTTCAACCCCCCTGCATTCGCAGGGACACCTCTCACTAGATCAGGCTGCTCAGAGCCCCATCCAACCTGCCCTTGAACCCTCCCAGAGATGGGGCTTCCACAACTTCTCTGGGCAGCCTGTTCCAGTGTCTCACTACCCTCACTCAAAAGAATTTTGCCCTGATCTCTAACATAAATCTCTCTTCTTTCAGTTTAAAACCATTATCTATTGTCCTCTCACTACAAGCATTTGCTGAATTGGAAGGCACTTTTACTTTCAAAATTACAAAATTAGCCTGTGTCTGCAGAAGTATGTGTGCAAACAGATTTTAGTCTGTAAATGCTAGCTGGTTCTTGGATTACCAGTTAAGTAATTCATGCACACAATGTGTGCGTGTGTGTGTTTTTGTGTGTGTGTGTGTGTACAAAATTTTTTGGACATAGTCTTCATATAGACAAAAGAGTAGTGCCAGCCTAGAAGCAGCTATCGAAATATACTCACATGTCATACATTATAAAATTTATTCTAAACATCTGTTCATCTATTTAGTGACATGGGCTTTCAAATCATAGGATTACAGTACTGTGTTCATGCCTGTATAGGTTTGATGATGCTACTGTTAAAAAATGTTAGAATTTTGAGCTTTCCCTTCCTAAATCACCAACAAGAGAGACAGAACTGAAAACAGATCATCCTGAGTGCCATCAAGTGGCATGCAGAAGACAACCAGGGGATCAGGTCCAGCCAACATGGGTTTAGGAAAGGAAGGTCCTGCCTAACCAATCTCATGACTCCCTTCTATGACTGGGTGACCGACCTAGTGGATGAGGGGAAGTCTGTGGGTGTGGTCTATCTCAACTTCAGCAAGGCCTCTGACACAGTCTCCCACAGCATCCTCCTGGAGAAGCCAGCAATCCACGGCTTGGACAGGTGCACCCTTCGCTGCATTAAAAACTGGTTGTATGATCAGGCCCAGAGGTTGATGGTGAATGGAGATGCATCCAGTTGGTCATCTGGTGACCAGCGGTGTCCTCCAGGGATCAGTGCTGGGCCAAGGTCTATTCAACATCTTTATTGACAACCTGGATGAGGGGATCAAGTCTATGCTTACTAAATCCACAGATGACACCAAGTTTGGGGAGAATGTCGATCTGCCAGAGGGTAGGAAGAAGCTGCAGAGGCACCTGGACAGGCCGGGCTGATGGGCTGAGGCCAATGTCATGAAATTCAACAGGACCAAGTGCAGGACCCTTGGCCACAATAACCCCAGGCAGCACTACAGGCTGGGGCAAGAATGGCTGGAGAGCAGCCCAGCAGAGGGACCTGGAATTGCTGGTTGACAGCAGGTTGAACATGAGTCAGCAGTGTGCTCAGGTGGCCTGGAAGGCCAATGGCATCCTGGCTTGTATCAGGAATAGTGTGGCCAGCAGGAGCAGGGATGCAATCCTCCCCCTGTACACAGCACTGGTGAGGCGTCACCTGGAGTACTGTGTACAATTCTGGGCGCCTCACTTCAAGAAGGATATTGAGGTGCTGGAGCAGCCTCAGAGGAGAGCAATGAGGCTGGTGAAGGGACTAGAGGGAAAGTCTTACAAGGACAGGCTGAGGGAGCTGGGGTTGTTTAGCCTGGAGAAGGGGAAACTCAGGGGGGAACCTTTTGACTCTTCAACTACCTGAAGAGAGGCTGTAGGCAGGTTGGGGCTGGGCTCTTTTCCCAGGTAACTAGCAACAAGACAACAGGGCAGGGCCTCAAGCTGCCCCAGGAGAGGTTTAGGGTTGATATTAGGAAGTACTTCCTCATGGGGAGGGTGATTAGACATGGGAATGGACTTCCTAAGGAAGTGGTGGAGGCACCATCCCTGGATGTGCTCAAGCAAAGGCTGGATGTGGCACTTAGTGCCATGGTCTGGCCGATGCAGTGGTGATTACATCATAGGCTGGACTTGATGATCTTAAAGGTCTTTTCCAGCCTTGGTGATTCTCTGATTCTGTGAAAAGTAACACTCAAGCCAAAAGAGACTAAAATCAGATCACCTGCGAATCAGAAAGCCCATTTTAAACTACACATAAATTTTGAACATATACACTGTCTACACATTTGGCTTTATTAATATGCCAAATTGAGGAAAATACCTGTATTTCTCTCAGGTCTTTGTCATGGAGGTTTTGAAGTGGGTCAATGAAGTTTTGTTTCACTTCCATGTCTAAAGAGTCCTTGACTTCAGAAAGCTCCTTCATAGCTTCTCCCACATCTGCAAGTGCTGGTCCTGAAAGAAAAGATGTCCAGTTTACCTCAAAATAACTTAGTTCCAAACCACTGCATAATGAAACTGAGTAATTTCTGTTAACATTTCATTTTAAGTTTAGGAAAGAAACAGGGTATCATATACTGTGTGAAAGGTAAACACTGATTTTACACTTCTGCAGCCTCCAGAGTTTTGGCCTTGTAAGGCAGATGAGTTTGAGGACCCAAGTTGCATCAAGACAGCCTCCTCCACACTCCTTGTTGTCCGCATTCCTTACTCTGGTGAGACACACTTGCTAAAAAAGGAAGATCTGTATTTGCTTTACTGTTGCCATCACCAGACACTAGACTGCATGCAAAAACAGCTCTAATCTAAGTCTAGGTCTCCCTGTTTGTATCAACGACACTGGTGACAGAATCAAATGTAAACATTCTTAACAACTTCACAATTTTTAATGAGTTTTTTTAAAATAAACTATTGACTTCATACACCTACTCAAGTTCACAAACTTCAACAAGAACAGGTTGCTTTCTGAGATTTTCTGTAAGGTTGAGGGACACAAAAACTACTACTTTGGTTTACATCCTTTGCATAAAAGCAAAAGCAAGAAGCTCAAAAATACCCTGCTGGTTTGAGATGTAGGCTGGTGGGGAAAAATCCACTTTCAAAGAATACAAAGGTTCTGAAAATCTAAAATGTGAGAAATCAGAAGGAGCTTTGTCTCCCAAGCAGGGGATGCCCGCACTGCAAAACCAGAGAGTCTGCCAGACCCAGCTGAGGAGTGACAAACAGCCATAATAGCTGCTATTAGATAAGAATGTGAAAATAATTGCCATATCTATTCTGCTGTGTGCTATTGCAATTATTAGGGAATATGCAGTAATCTGAATAAACTAAATTGTATTTGTTCTTCGTTTTCTCTTTTAAAACGTGTTTGAAATTTAGCAAATGAGAGGCAACCAATTAAGAAAACACAACAACCATTAGTAGTCTTTAGCATAAAGCAAGCTACATCTGACAAGCTAACTAGTAGATTGTATAAAACAAACAAGAAAGTATCTTTTCCACTGCAGATGCCTTTATGCCAGGAATAATATTCAAATAGGAAATGCAATTTTCACAGCCCTTTTTAAGGGTCCTGTGTTTTGCCATACAAAAATGGCCATAGAAAAGGCCACAAAATAGGACAGAAAGTCAAAGAATCCTGTTGTGAATGTAATCACTTTTAATTAGATCTCTACTGTTGAAGAACACAATGTTAAATCTCAGTTTAACATTGGTATCTCAGGAGCTGTAAATGCCTTTGACATTTAGAGCAAGGAGTGGTTAATAGATAACACAAGAGTATTCACTAGTGCCTTAAATGTGGAATTTGGTCAGAAAAAAAGGTCAAAGTCTACTAAAAACTTACTAGCACTGATTCTTTGCCTGTAATGAAGACAATAAATATATTAATTATAAGTATTTCGAGGACAAAATGATTTACTGCACACATGCATAGTCAATAATAGAGTATCTGAACATGTATGCTTTTCATCCCAATACATCCCCAGTAATCTATGATGGGTAGCCTCAAGCCTGTACATGCATCCAAATGGAAAAAATTTTCGTTTCACACACAAGAAAAAAATTTCTAGTCTAAATCAGCAAAAATCCTCAACAGGCCCTGAAGGAGAAGTCTGATTAAGCAGAACTCTGACGTTTCTTGCAGAACTTTGCGTTTATAAGAGTCCAAGACTTTAATAATGAAAATTATATTAAATTTTGCTACAATTTATGTTACATTATAATGGAAAGGGAAGTAATCAAGTTACCAAAGTTGCATTCTTCTCCAAGTTCTCGGCCAAATTTCAGCATTGCATCTGCCAGCAAGGCTTCAGCCTGAGGATAACCTGGTCCCTTTTCCTGGCCTCGAATTTTTGACATAGTGTTGATCATGCTGAGTTTAGCCCTGGAAGCTGAAGCAAGCAAGCGACAGAGGTTATAATGTGCAATAGCTTGACTACACACACAGGAATGCACTTATAAAATTTATCTGAGCTACCTACAACGTATTTGAAGGACCTTATCTAAGTTTAGATCTAAGTCCTGTTTTTCACCACTTATTTTTAGAGTAAAGGAATGAAATGTTGTTCGTCAAGGATTTTTTTCCTTCTGCTGGTAGGCCAGAGAGGAGGGTCTGTCCTGAACTTTAAGTCAAAGTTTCCCTTGAAACAACTTGGGCAGAAGAAACCCCAGGAGCAATACCAAGATACCATGTTTGACACATGCTACCAATCAGGTAGAAAAATCTTTCAGCTATCCCCAAATTCTTAAAATCCTCCGGTAACAGATGGATAGCAGATTGAGTCAGCCTTCCTTTCAAGGAAAAGTCCAGACTGGGTACACTCAAGATTACTACAGTGTAGTACCCCACTTTTTTTAATGTTGGAAAGTTTTTCTTTTGTAGAATATTAAATAAAACCTATGTCCTCAAACATGATGTTCAACAACCTGTGAAACACTTTTTTGCCTTTTATGGGCATTTAGAAAAACTCCCATTTCAATACAATTTCCAACTGTACTTTAGTTTGTATTTTATTTCAGATACAAAACTGCAGATCAGAAGAAAGCACACAGTTACCAAAACTGAAGAAAACAAAGACAGCAAACATAAGAGAAATAACTTGTTTTATTATATGCTTTAGCAAATTTTGCAACTGTATATTTTCACAGAATGTGAACAGCCTACGGAATGGGAATTAATTAATGGCACTTGAATTTGTATTTTGCCAGCTAAATTCTATTGACAGCACAGCTTACTCAGTGATTGTTTCTACATATGTTATTACGTGTGCTATAGGAGGGCACCTACCTGCCTCTTCCTTCCTCCTTGCAAAGGCTTGACTTTTTTAGTTTCCCTTATGAGCTAGTATTTCTGCTTACATAATATTATGGCTCACACTGTTGTGTGCTGCTTTCATTAGTCAAAACTCAACTTTGCACACACTTCTATGACTAAACAAACATATAAGTTAGAGTAGGTGAAGGCATGGACTGTGAAAAAGGAAGATGTCCCCACTGTAGGAGAACAGGTTTTGAAGGATCTGAAGGTGCATAAGTCTATGGGACCTGATGAGATTCATCCATGGCTCCTGAAGGAACTGGCCAATGAAGTTGCAAAGACTCTGTCCATCATATTTGAAAGTCTTGGCAGTCTGGAGAAATCTCCACTTACTGGAAAAGGGGAAACATAACCACCATTTTCAAAAAGGAAAAAAGGAAGAACCAGGGAACTATAGACCCGTCAGTCTCACCTCTGTGCCCAGCAAGTTCATGGAGCAGATCCTCCTGAAGGTTCTGCTAAGGCACATGGAAAAAAAGGGGTGACTGGTAACAGCCAACACAGCTTCACCAAGTGCAAATCCTGGCTGACTAATTTGGTGGTCTTCTACAATGGAATCATGGCATTAGTGGACAAAGGAAAAGCAACAGATGTAATCTACTTGGACCTGTCCAAAGCTTTTGACACTGTTCTGCAGGACATTCTGGTATCAAAACTGGAACAGTATAGATTTCATGTACTGTTCCACTCCTGGACTCCTGGACCACTCTTGAGTCAGAAACTGACTGGATAGTCACACTCAAAGCGTCATGATAAATGCTCACTGTTCAAATGGAGATCAGTGATGAGTGGTGTTCACCAAGAGCTGGTACTTGGACCCATGCTATTTAGCATCTTTGTCAGTAACACAGACAGTGGCATTGGATGCACCCTCAGCCAAGTTTGCCCATGACACCACAGCATGTGGTGAGGTCGACACACTGGAGAGAAGGGAGGCCATCCAGAGGGACACTGACAGGCTTGAAAAGTGGGCTCATTCCAAGTGCACAAAGTACAAAAAGGCCAAGTGCAAAGTCCTGCATCTGGGTTGAGGCAACCCCAAGCAGACATACGGGCTGGATGGAGAATGGATCAAAAACAGTCTGGAAGAGTAGGACTTGGGGGTGATGGTGGATGAGAAGCTCAATGTGAGCCAGTAATGTGCACCTGCAGCCCAGAAAGCCAAGCACATCCTTAGCTGTATCAAAAGAAGCGTAGCCAGCAGGTCAAGGGAGGTGATTCTCCCCCTTTTACTCGGCTCTCATGAGAGCCCACCTGGAGTACTGTGTCCAATTCTGGAGGCCCCAGCACATAACAAGGACATGGAGCCACAAAAATGATCCAAGGGCTGGAGCAACTCTCCTATGAGGACAGGCTGAGAAAGTTGGGGCTGTTCAGCCTGGAGAAGAGAAGGCCCTGGGGAGGTCTTACGGTGGCCTTCCAGTGCTTAAAGTGAACAGGAAAGCTGGCAAGAGACTTTTTACAAGTGTTTGTAGTTAAAGAACAAGGGTTAATGGATAAAAGCTGGAAGAGGGCAGATTTAGGCTAGACATTAGGAGGAAATTCTTTAGTGTGAGGGTGATGAGACACTGGAACAGGTTGCCCAAGGAAGTTGTGGAAGCCCCATCCTTGGAAGTGTTCAAGGGCAGGTTAGATGGGGATTTGAGCATGCTGATCTAGTGGGAGGTGTCCCTGCCCATTCAGGGGGGTTGGAATTAGATGATCTTTAAAGTCCCTTCCAACTCAAACCATTCTATGATTCTATGATTAGCAGATTGGAGTCAACAAGTGTTTTGCTCTTAATCTACTCCTGAAAGCTTGGATCAAGAGCTTGTTCTTCTGCTGAATATGTTTCATTTTGTGCCATATAAATGTATCCATAAAACACAGACAGAGAAACAGACAGACTAAGTGTCACAGTACTGTTTTTGCCTGAGAAGCAGCTATGAAAGGGTAACATATTTTTAACATGTAGTAATGAAGTATTTGTAAGCTTTCTCACTATCCTTAAGTGCCACCAAATCATGCTTTTTACATCTGAATTTCTTGGTGCCTTCTGTTTCTACCCACTACAAAACTACAGTTAGCAGACTGGCTGACTGTTCAGTATAAGAAACTGCATTTTAATGATGTGGCTTTTAAAAACAAAATCAAAACGATGGTGGCAATGGGAAAATACAGAAGTACAAAACAAAATACGGCACAAAAACCCCCTACACTAGTCAGGAGAATCAAAGCAGCAATCTGAATTAAAACAGGAACAAAATGGAGTATTTTCAGAAGTAAAAGGGAAAAATAAAAGAGAAAATTAAAAATAAATAAATAATGAAGTGCCTGTAGTCTGAACAGGCAGGTAAGAGCAGAAAGCAAAAGGGTAAAGGAAAAAAAAGACAGAGATAAAAGAACAATAAGGGCAGGGCAAGAAAAAAATCTTAAAAAGAAGAAAGATAAGCATGAAAAATAATAATTATTACATTAAGATCCTGATTTAGTAGGAAATCTTACAATACATCCACCAGTGGTCTTACTTCACTTTTCTTCTTTTAAGGTTGATTCCACGGGAGCAGAGGTATGTGCTCAGACAATCTTGAAATCTTATCCTATGTCCTTTCCTTTCTATTGCTTTATTAGTGCCATGTCCTTTCTTCTTTAAGTTATGTTTCAACCTGAGTGAGGACAGGCAGAGATGTACAAAATACCACGTGGAAGTGACCTGAACCCTGAATGCTTGATTTTTTTCCCAGTTGCATTCCTTCTCCCTTACATTGACTTTCACAGTGTCAGTAATTATTCACTTTAATATTGTGCTAACAGAACCTCATAAAATTGTAAGAATACTGCCAAAAGAGTTGGAAAGACATTTCAGCAGGGAGTTCAGTTGCTTGTACTTTGTACTTCCATTCATGTTAATCTTGCACCTCTTTTTCTGGAAATTATGATCATGTACATCTGCAGAAGAAGTCTTTGAGCCTTCATCAGCTTCAATTTTATTTATTTTCACCTCTCATAGATTAGAATAATAGAATCATTTTGGCTGGAAAAGATTTAAGATCATCAAGTCCAACCATCAACCTAGGACACTGTGCACCACTAAACCATGTCCCTAAGCACCTTCGTGTAAAGACCTTCGTGTCTTTTAAATACTTCCAGGGAAGATGACTCCACCACTTCCCTGCTTCCAGTGCCTGACACCCCTCTCAGTAAAGAAGTTTTTTTCCTCATATTCAATGTAAACCTCCCTTGGTGCAACTATCCTGTTATCCTATGACTTGTTACGTGGGAGAAGAGAATGAAAACCACATCTCTACAACTTCATTTCAGGTCGTTACAGAGGGCAATAAGGTCTCCCCTCAGCCTTCTTTTCTCCAGGCTAAACAACCCCAGTTCCATCAGATACTGCTAACAAGATTTATCCTCTAGACCCTTCATCAGCTTTGCTACCCTTCTCTGGACATGCTCCAGCACCTGAATGTCCTTCTTGTAGTGAGAGACCCAAAATTGGACAAAGTACTTGAAATGCAGCATAGTACAGGGGCACAATCACTTCTCTAGTCCTGCTGGCCACACTATTGCTGTTATACGCCAGGACACTGTTGGTCTTCTTGACCACCTGGGCACATTGCTAGCTCATGTTAAGCCAGCTCTGTACCAACATCCCCAGGTCCTCTTCCACCAGGCAGCTTTCCAGCCACTCCTCCCCATGCCTGTAGCATTGCATGAGGCAGCTGTGACCGAAGTGCAGGACCCAGCGCTTGGTCTTGTTGAACCTGATACAACTGGCTCAGCCCATCAAAACCAGTCACCACCACTCTTTGTGTCTGGCCATCCAGTTTTTTACCCAGCAAATTGTACACCAGTCCAAGCCAAGAGCAGCCAGCACTCTAGGAGAAGGTGGTGGGAAATGGTGTCCAAAATACCTAAAATATAGGTAAACATCCACTGCCTTTCTCTCATCTGCTAAGTGGGTGAACTTGTCATTGAAGGAGACCATGTTAGTCAAGAAGGACCTGACTTTCATAAACTCATGCTGGCTGAGCCTGCCTGCCTCATTGACCTGCATGTGCTGCATATGCCTGCTGCATCCTTCAGATTTTCTCATAACTGGGAGTTCTGCTAAGCTATATTTTTCATTTGCACTAACTTTATCCCAACTCTTTCAATAAATTCAACATTGTATTCAATATCCTTTACCCCTTCCATCCCTTCACTTTTCCTTTCTCCTTTCCTTTTCTCTTTAGCATTAGTTCATTGTTTACTGAAGTCCCTGCTTTCACCTGCTGTGGCCTTTGCAATGAGGCTAGAGCACTTGCCAGAGAAGACTGATGCAAAGAAGTCATTGAGAACATCAGCTTTCTCAATATCCTGCATATCGCCCATTTCCTTCAGGAGTGGGCCTGCATTTTCCTTGGTTATCCTTTTCTCCCCAACATACCTATAAAAGCTTTCCTTACTGCTCGTTACATCCCTGGCAAGATTTAATTCTATGTGGGATCTGGCTCTCCTTAACTGGTCCCTAGCTGCGCTATCAACATGTAGTCCATTGATCTCTAGCACTGCAGCACTATGTTATACAAGTATATTGATATTTTCAGGGCACATCTTACTTATCAAGGAACATGTGCTACAACTCAAACCCTTTTCTCCTTATCAAGCTCAGGGAAACTTTAAAAGAAAATCTCCTGTTAAATATTGCTGTTAAAGAATATATTTTTTTAATTAGATTTTTCCCTTCTCCCTGTGTAATGTTTCTATGTTTTATTAAAATAACAAAACAAACAGGAAAAACTGGAAATCAGCATTTCTGGTGCCCTAGATAAACAGTAATATAGATGTAGGGA